GTGTGTGTGTGTGTGTGTGTGTGTGTGTGTGTGTGTGTGTGTGTGTGTGTGTGTGTGTGTGTGTGTGTGTGTGTGTGTGTGTGTGTGTGTGTGTGTGTGTGTGTGTGTGTGTGTGTGTGTGTGTGTGTGTGTGTGTGTGTGTGTGTGTGTGTGTGTGTGTGTGTGTGTGTGTGTGTGTGTGTGTGTGTGTGTGTGTGTGTGTGTGTGTGTGTGTGTGTGTGTGTGTGTGTGTGTGTGTGTGTGTGTGTGTGTGTGTGTGTGTGTGTGTGTGTGTGTGTGTGTGTGTGTGTGTGTGTGTGTGTGTGTGTGTGTGTGTGTGTGTGTGTGTGTGTGTGTGTGTGTGTGTGTGTGTGTGTGTGTGTGTGTGTGTGTGTGTGTGTGTGTGTGTGTGTGTGTGTGTGTGTGTGTGTGTGTGTGTGTGTGTGTGTGTGTGTGTGTGTGTGTGTGTGTGTGTGTGTGTGTGTGTGTGTGTGTGTGTGTGTGTGTGTGTGTGTGTGTGTGTGTGTGTGTGTGTGTGTGTGTGTGTGTGTGTGTGTGTGTGTGTGTGTGTGTGTGTGTGTGTGTGTGTGTGTGTGTGTGTGTGTGTGTGTGTGTGTGTGTGTGTGTGTGTGTGTGTGTGTGTGTGTGTGTGTGTGTGTGTGTGTGTGTGTGTGTGTGTGTGTGTGTGTGTGTGTGTGTGTGTGTGTGTGTGTGTGTGTGTGTGTGTGTGTGTGTGTGTGTGTGTGTGTGTGTGTGTGTGTGTGTGTGTGTGTGTGTGTGTGTGTGTGTGTGTGTGTGTGTGTGTGTGTGTGTGTGTGTGTGTGTGTGTGTGTGTGTGTGTGTGTGTGTGTGTGTGTGTGTGTGTGTGTGTGTGTGTGTGTGTGTGTGTGTGTGTGTGTGTGTGTGTGTGTGTGTGTGTGTGTGTGTGTGTGTGTGTGTGTGTGTGTGTGTGTGTGTGTGTGTGTGTGTGTGTGTGTGTGTGTGTGTGTGTGTGTGTGTGTGTGTGTGTGTGTGTGTGTGTGTGTGTGTGTGTGTGTGTGTGTGTGTGTGTGTGTGTGTGTGTGTGTGTGTGTGTGTGTGTGTGTGTGTGTGTGTGTGTGTGTGTGTGTGTGTGTGTGTGTGTGTGTGTGTGTGTGTGTGTGTGTGTGTGTGTGTGTGTGTGTGTGTGTGTGTGTGTGTGTGTGTGTGTGTGTGTGTGTGTATGCGTGTGCGTATACATATATTTAGTGACTTAAACATCTGAACAAACATTATAAATTTTTATATTTTTAAACTATTTTAAATAATTATACAGAGTAGCAAAATAAACCAACAATCCAAATTTCAATATGATTCAAACAACTTTTATAAGAAAAAATTGATGATTTGTTGATGCAGCTCGGTTGGAAATATGATTTTGGATGCGTGTTGACTCCCTTCTGAGTTGGTGGTCAATATCCTCCTCGTTTCGGGGTACCTCGTTTCATGCTCTAATTAAAGTACTCCCAAAGTTTGAGAAGAATGCTCCAAATATTGAAGCCGCCTCGTTTCGGGGTACCTCGTTTCATGCTCTAATTAAAGTACTCCCAAAGTTTGAGAAGAATGCCTCAAATATTGAAGTTTTCGACCCATTATGTCCCACACGTGTTCAGTTGAGATAGATCTGGGGATCTCGGTGACAAGAGCAAAATATGGACTCCAGCATGTTCAAAGTCCATTGTGATTCTTTCAGTCTGTGGCCTTGCATTATCCTGTTGAAAAATTGGATGTTTGCTGAGCTGTCCTCTCTGACGATGATTAGAGGTGAGCTTAAACCATAACCGATGGCACCCCACACGATAACCCTAATGGTGCGGTGCACATACCGTTCGACAACATCTGTTAATTTGGTCTTTTATCTCATCGTCTTCTGATCCTGGCTCGGTCATTATGAATGCCTAAACAGAAACTACTTTCATCACTAACAATAACCATATTTCATTCCTGATCCTAAGCCAATTGTTCTCTGCAGCATTCAAGAAGATAAAGTCGATGTTGAGGAGTATGAGGTAGGCCCCAGTATGGATAAAAAAAAACAAAACTACAAATTCGACAATATAATGTTCGCATCCAAATTTTGATATATTGATCTTTCATATTCTGTCAACCATTTATTTGATATATACCTGTTGGTGGACAAGCTATCAAAAAAAAAAACAAAAATCTAACCTGAGATGGCTGAAATTCTGATCATTTATTGTTTTACCACGATAATCCTGTATACCAAATTTATTAAAATGAAATAAATTATAAAAGTGTTCGAATTTCTATATACGAAAGATAAATTGAAATATTAATCTGATAAATTTGAGTTTACATAATTGTCCATGCAAACGGCAGTTTCCAGCGGAATTCTTTTTCCTGGTTTTGTAATTGATAAGTAATATAAGCCTCCTGGAAGTCTACAGTATCTCATAATAGGTTGTGTGTATCTTGGAACAAGTGAGTCTCCTCTTTCTATATGAAAATTCCAACCAGCCATTTTATTTGGGCTTTTAATCTTCTGTAAAAAAAAGCTAAAGTCAAGTTTTTTACGACTTTTTTAAAAGTTTATACTAAAAGTTTTCATAAAATGGTTTTTAGTATAATGTTAATGTAGAGCAAAAGTAGTGTAAAAACTAACCAAATTAAATGTTTATAGACCAAATAACCCAGAGTTTTTTTTTCTTTTTTCATATCTAGTAAATTTGATCGATTCTTTTATCTGGAAGAAACTTTAAGACCACTAAGTTATACGATAAATGTGAAGTCTAGAAGTAAAGGGGTATAAGTGACAAAAAGCAAATTTTGAGTAAATGCCGTAAAAGATAGACTTTCACTATAAGTGCCATGATTTACTAATGCTAGTTTTTCTTCTCCAATTTAGTAACGGTAATTATTGTTAATATTACTTGTAATACAAAAATATAATTTTATTGGTATCACTCATTTAATTGCTATTTTGAGGTTGCTAAGCAGTCTTTTACTTGTAAGAAGTGTAACATAAACGCAAAAAAAGTTAAGATATCATAAAATTAAAGTACAAATTTATTTTTTACACTAACACTAATACATAGTTGATTGCATTGGCTTATTATTATTTATTATCACCAGTATCGTAATTATTGTGATCGAAATAGTCAATGTGACCTTCTGCTTGTTCCCTGAAGAAGACATTAGAGAAGATGTCGAAAGCTCGGCGCAGTTATAATCGGCGCGGTTTTCTGTTGAGTTTAATATTAATTCTTGTAACAATATTAATCTAAGCTTTAGATTTAATATGTAGTGTGTCCGTAAAGTATGGAATAAATTCGATATTTCCTAAATGAAAAGCATGTTTAAAAAAATCTAAAACACGTCGATATTTAAGTTTATTGTTCTAAATTCTACCAAAAAATTTCATTATAAAAGATCATACACATTAAAGCGATGGCTTCATCGGCTTTTTTTTTAATGTAGCACCGTATATTTTATAATATTTTTAGATCGATCAAAATGAGCTGATTTCAAAAAAGTATAATACTCGGGGTCTAACTGATACTATTTGAAATATATGTGCTTGGAAAATAAATTATTTATTAATTGCAAAAAAGTAGCCTACTACTAGTTTTTAGTAAAATGTAATTATTTTTAGTAACGTTTAATAACAATTAAGTAGTATAATAATTGTATTATTTGTGAATGTTCTGGATTGTTGCTTAGAATTAATTTGAAGTAGAAATGAATTTGAGTGTAAAGCAAAGAATTGAAATACTCATAATAATTGGGTATAGATACAAATCGCGAACTAGATGAAAGTGTATAGTTTATTTAATGATAAATATCCAGAAATACCCATCACGCAGTCAACAGTAAGTAAGATTGAAAAGAAATTTCGAAAAACTGGTACGGTTGAAAATGCACGCAAATCAGGTCGTCCCTCTGTAAATTATGTTACAATAATGGATGTTCTGCTTGCTTTTGAAGAAAATACACACACTTCTGTTCGCAAGGTTCGTAGTGATCTCGATGTTTGCAAAACAACAGTACACAAAGTAATAAAACTTAAAAAATGACACCCCTTTCGATGCACACTTGTACAGGAATTAAACGAGGATGATCCAGATAAAAGAATACAATTTTGCGAAATAATGATGGATAACAGCAAACGAAACCCTCTTTTGCTTCAAAATATTATTTTTTTGATGAGGATACATTCAAATTAAATGGCGAGGTCAACTGTCAGACTTGTAGATACTGGGCAAAAGAAAACTTCAGCTAAATGCGGGTACATCATACACATACCCGCAAAAGGTAAACGTATGGGCTGGCATTGTAAGAAATAAAATTATTGCACCCTACTATTTCGAAGGAAACTTAAACGGGCCAGCATACCTTCAGTTTTTCAGTGGGTATCTCGTACCTAATTTAGTTCATTTATTCCCCAGTACAATTAATCTTGGAGGTTTTGATAAAATTTTATGGTTTCAACAGGATGGTGCGCCTCCGCATTATGCTTTAGATGTTCGAAGCTACCTAAACGAAATTTTTCCGAACAGGTGGATTGGAAGACATGGACATATTTAATGGCTAGCGAAGTCGCCAGACTTTAATCCTTCGGATTTTTTTATGTGGGGTCATTTAAAGAATGTTGTTAAAGAAATAAACAATATTTCTTAAGGAAGCATAAACAAGGTACTACAAGAATTTGTACAACGTTTGAGTTATTGTCAAATACAACAAGTGCAACAATTCGAACATTTAGATAAAATCATGTATTAATTACTGGATTAGTTTCAAGTTATTTATTATAATTTATTAGACCCCAGTATTATACTTTTTTGGAATCAGCTCATTTTTATCGATCCAAATATGTCCTAAAATACAGGGTGCTACATTTAAAAAAGAGCCAATGACGTCATCACTGTAATGTGTATCACACTATGTAATGAAATTTTATTGTAAAATGTAGAACAATAAATTTAAAAATCGGCGTGTTTTAGATTTTTTTAAAAAAGCTTTTCATTTAGGAAATATCGAATTTATTCCCTACTTTACGGACACACTGTATATATATATATATATATATATATATTATATATATATATATATATATATACAGTATTGGAAGATTCAAAACGGAACATACGAATTATTAATACAATTATTAAGATCTCCTGACCTGCAATTACCCAGTGTAAATTTCAATATAACGTCGCGATGTCTTATAATTAATTCATTTGTTCGACTGGACTCCTTCTCCAGTCGATATTTTTCGACTGCTGCGCACGTGCGCACCTTAATAATACGACTAATAGTTGATTGTGTCGGTATTGGCCTATCTTCATACGCACAAGTAAATAAATTTATAATATCACGGTACGAGTTGCTCCCATAATACCATTTTAAAATTTGTACTTTTTCTTTGTTTGTATACATGGTTTATGGTTAGAAACACTACTTTTATTTCAGCTTATGGCTTTATAATGAGAAGCAAAGCAAAGGGCATGTATTTGTTTTGCTCGGCCAGTGATGTTCCTTGGGACTGTTGCCAAATCGATAGATACCTTCGGCAAAAATCTGTAGATTTTGATGTATCATATAACATCCTTTTAAATTTTAAATTATCAACAATATTTGAAATAATAAATATATTAAACTATACACTAACCAATTCAAATAATATCTAATGAACACAAAAAAATTGTTATTAATAAAACATTGTTATTATCTGCACAAAAACACAGAAAATCAGTGGACGATAGACAACAGTGTCGACGTACACCTGTCGAATACGCTTATAGAAATCGCCAAGGAGTAGCAATCCAGTCGAACAAATGAATTAATTATAAGACATCGCGACGTTTTATTGAAATTTACACTGGATAATTGCAGGTCAGGGGATCTTAATAATTGTATTAATAATTCGTATGTTCCGTTTTGAATCTTCCAATACTGTATATATATATATATATATATATATATATATATATATATATATATATATATATATATATTGTAATGAGAACAGAAATACAATAAATTAACATAGAAATATATACAACCAGATATACAATGTTAATTAATAAATTTATTTAAATAGTAATTAAAGACATAATTTATAAGTTATATACTAGATAATATTATTAAAAAATAATTATATGAGGGTATTTTTAAGAATTTAGCATAAGAATTAAGTTTAAGAAGTTTTTTTATTTGATTTTATTTAATATTAGATATGTTTAAGTCAGCCAGGTGCATATGCAACCAAACATACACTGTATTCTTTGACGTTTAGACGGAAAAGTGGGGTTATTTATTTTGTAATGTTAATTTAGAATATAATTGTGGATGTAAAATAGTAAAAATATATTTATATATTATCTATTATTATATAATAATTTATTAGAAAACCGACAACTGTTTTCTAAAGTAAAAGACAAGACACCAACTTTAAACAAAACTAATGTTATCTACAAACTGCCTTGTTTGGATTGCCAGAGCTGTTATGTTGGCCAAACTTCTCAATGGCTAAAACAAAGGGTCACCCAACACAAAAGTGACTGCACAAAACGGAAGAACACATGTGCGGCAGTTGACCATCACTTAAAAACTGGCCATCAATTTGATTACTCAAATGTCAGGGTTTTACAGCAAGAAAATAATTACAAAAAAAGATTGTTTTTGGAAATGTGTCATATAAATAGAGAAAACTATGCAGTAAATTACAAGGCAGACACGGGACAGTTGAGCAATATCTACTGTAATATTCTTAGTATGTCTACATAATTTTTCTGTTAACAATTATATTTTACATCACCCTGTATATTTTTAATGTGTAATTTTATTGTGTTTTAATTGTTTCGTTGTTTTTGTTTGCTCTGTTTTTATATTTTTACATTTAATTACTAGTGACCTAGGTACTTTTAACAAAAACTGTCAGTACTGTTTTGAACAAATTATGTTCAACTTGTTTAAATACTTTCCACTCTAAATCTGTAAGTGAGTCACTTTTTATTCAAACTGATTTTTATATAGCTTTTATTCAAATTTTTAGTTGTCTCCTGATGAAGCTGACAAAAAATCAGCGAAATATAGAGGATTAAAAGAAAAAAGAGTTTTTTTTTTAATAATAACAGACCGCATACCCGATATTCCAACACAATAAATTATATATATATATATATATATATATATATATATATATATATATATATATATATATATATATATATACCATGTAATTTGGATCGGGAGCAGTCAGGCAGTTATCAGTTAGAAGTCAGTCAGTTATCAGTTAGAAGACAGTCAGTTATCAGTTAGAAGTTAGTTGAGTTATCAGTTAGAGGAAGTCAAGTACAGATTATTATTAGTAAGTTAGTTAGTTAGTTACAGATTATGATTAGTTACAGTTGATTAATCAGTTAGTAAAGTGAGTCAGTAAAGTTATAATTCAAGAATTTAGTTACAAGAAGATTATTAATTGAGTTAGGTGAGTTAGTTGGAAGAAATTAAATCAGTTACAAGATTATTATTGAGGAGTTA